TTCCCCCTCAAACTCTTTTTTTCCTTCTTCCTCCAACGTCTTGAAAACAATTACTAAACAATCTTTATATTAAACTTCTGGAAGACCATTGAATTTGTTGAAGACAGTCACTTTCTAGGGAAACTTGGGAAATCTGATGATTATGTTTTTGGAGACACCACATTTGTACATCCTTGTAAAATCCTTGTAAGTTATGTGTCACGCAGGTTCAATTGTTACCAGTTAAATAAGAAACATGATGAGATTGCTCTTCTTTTTCTGGAAAACCTATTACGGTATATTAATGTTAAGGCTACAAATTGCCATTTTTGCAACTTTTTCCACGTCTTCTTCTAAAGTGTTAGGGTTATAGCTTACAACCTTTAAACACTTTTGTCATGTGCTACAGCCTAGTCAAAGACATCACATTTGTTCTCTCAGTGCCATTAAAAGACCTTGACAGTTTGATAAATGTAGACATTTCTGTGTGCCAAGGTGCTAGCACCTCTTGCTGAAACTCTTCTCTAAGCTGAGGAATGAATTACCTGCCATATTTTCTATTCTAGGCCTGTTACTTGTTGTCACCTTATATTGCCCAGGTGCCACTGCTAATATTACCTTATGAGAAGATGTCAAGTTTTTATATTCCAAACCTTCTACCATATCCTCTTCTGACTTAATTTCCATAATTATTTTCATTCAATGTATTCATTATTATGGTGATAGTGGCTTGGCGATTGTAAAATTGAATTTCATAGAGTGGAGTTGCTGCTATTTTCTCCTGCAATGTGCCACAACCCTAAGCAAAATTACGTATTTGAAAACCAGCTCTCAACCTCTGCTAAATATCTTAATCTGAGGCTGGAAATAAGTTTTTGATTGTCGAGAAAGATTAGCAAACAAACAAACACCTTTCTTACCCATTGAATAACACTTAAGAAGCTTAAAATGTACAATATACCCTCATGCCATGTTACAAGGGTTGAATGAAAAGTAATGCCTCCACCTTCGTTACTTGGGTTGGGATGGGATTATTTTAATAAATCAAATGCAGAAATAATCCTTAGAATGTGCTCTTTAACTACCACTATTTGCTTTTCCACACAATCACCAGACAATTGGATACATTTCTGACAATGATGAACAAGTTTTCTGAAGCCGTCACAGAAGTCAACACTGTTTCTGCAATCCATCGTGCACAGATCTTCCGATAGCCAAGCAAAGCAATAATGTGACCCACACGTCCTTGTGAAATGCCAATTATGCTTGAAATTTCTCTGAGTGATACGACGATCATCCTGAATCAATCTATCAACCTTTTGCTTGTGAAACTCGGTGGTTGGTGTCACAGGATGTCCAACTCTTTGTTTGTCACGCAAGTCAGATGTTCCCACCTCAACATCTTTAAACTTACTTGCCCAAAGACACACAGTACCCACATCAACACAATCACCATAAACAGCTTGCATTCTCTGATGAATCTCCTTTGGGGTGACACCTTCTGCTGTTAATTCCAATGACTGCACGTTGCTTAAGTCACATTGACCGACCAACTGTGCAGGGTTCCATACTTTGCACTTTAACAACACAACCATTCAATGCTAAGGCTTCCCGCCAAAATGGAACTGTAGAGGAGAGTCTACTGAACAAGCCAGTACCTGCCGCATACCAGTACTGCCATCTGTTGAGGAGTTACGAAGGTGGAGGCATTACGTTTCATTCAACCCTCATACAAGGAAGAAAAGGCAGAAGGAGATGAAGCAGTATTTCCTAATGCAGCCATCTTTAACTTGGTCACATGGGCTAGGATTGGCTGCTGGTATAATACAACTCAGCTGGAGGGCACCAAGACAGGGAAGGCTAACCTAATTGTTAATTTAATGATCAGATACTTTGTGATTTGAGTGTTGACCCATGTTATGTAGCCCATACCATTTGAATGTGTTGAGAGCCAAGCAAGCATCTGAGAGCTCATGGTAGTCTAGCTTCCTCTTCCTCCAACCTTTCTTTCCTTCTCATACTTGCAGCCACTTTTGAAGTGCAACTTAACAGGTTGGCCTTTTGTGTGCATATGTAAACAACAGAATGGAGTAGTCACTCTACCAAGAATATGGAAAGGATTCAAATGCCCTGCAAAACGTTGTAAAACAACAAAAAAGTTGTGCAATTGAGCTTGATCCATTTTCCAATTATCTTACCAAGGGATAATTGGCATGTAAATCTGTCAACCACTACCAGCATGCTGGAGCTCTCTGGGGTCCCTTGCTAGAGAGTTAGAGAAGCACAGCACTTTCCACCAGTGGCTCTCGTGCCACACCATGCCATCCAGTTCACATTGCCAGCTGAGACAACTAGGAATCTGTAGTCAGATCTTGGTTTTGGTTGTGTGAAAACTATTCTGGGCAGGTTGGGAAAGCAATGCGGAACAGGCCAGCATGTAGGGCTAGATTCTAATCCTGGTAAAGCAAGAACTTGCTGAGGTTATGAATACATTCTTTCTCTCCACTTAAAGATCACCAACTGGGAAAATATTATTTTAATCTTATTTCTTCGTCTGTGAACTAGACTGAGTTAGGCTTGTGTAATATAGCATATGAACTCTCCATTCATTTTGGCAATGGAAAACTGACTTTGTGATTTAAGGTAAGTGGCAAATATATCTCTGCATCACTGATCCTAGCTTCCCTTAAGAGAAACATAGCATTCCTTTTTTAATGACAGCATAGGAAAATGTTGGAGGTTCAGAAAACCAGAGAGGTACTATGCATGAGTATGAAAATAGGGATATCTTCTTTCCATTGATATCTTTCCAATCATGACCATTAAAACATGTTCCCACCTCCACCAACCTGTTGTCTCCCAGTATCCCATTCATACACTACATGTAGTTATTAATACAATCTAGTGCAACAGTTGCTGTAGAACTAAAGCTGTACATCAAGGTCTAAATTCAAGAGCTAGTCCCAACTAGAGTAATGTAGATCCACTGAATTAATAGAAACCTGGTGAATCAACCACACCCATGCAATTCCATTAACTTAACAGGCTCAATTTAGTTGGAACTAGCAATTGGATTTAAGCCTTTAAAACTGCATAATGTGCATATTTTATTTCATTTGCTATGGAATTTCATTTCATTTTTGTTATACAGTCTGAGTAGTTCTTCGCTTCAGAATTGTATGCAAAATGCATAGAAAATTCATGTTTGAGTGTGGCACACACATATGGGATGGATAGGGAATGGAAGATGGGCTTGATACATCCTGGAGAGGTCAGCCTTTTCAACGAGTGAATTAACACAGAAGATAGAGTGGATGGACAAACAGAGACAATATAATGCACAAATTCCAAATATGTCCAAATATCAGGGAGTTTCATCTTTAAGATTTTTAACTGTATTGCATTTCTATTCCTACAATGCACATTAAGTGTGGGCTTCAAAGCCCTTTACCACTCTAACCTAAACATTGACAATATTGGCTTTTACTTCAGTAAAGCTTAATTCTTAAATAAGCTTAAATGCGCTTTAGATTGTGGCAGTGTTCTCTGTTGAGCAAACTGGAATTCCCAGGAAATGGTCTTTATACTAAGCCAAATTACTTGCTCATCTAACTGAGTATTATCTACACCAGTTTTTTTAAATCTAACTCGGTTATCTGACACAATTTTATTCTTCAATGCATCAGGAACGAATACTGTGTAACTGTGCCATATTGACATATGAACACAGCTCCCTCTCAAATGTTCATGTACAAACAACAGATGGCTCATGGACTGATACCAATTCATGGCCAATTGCTTCGAGTAACAATGGTCTTTGGTGACTAGCAGCAACTCTCCAGAGTTTCAAGCAAGGGTTTTTCTGGAGATTCAAGGAAACTCCTGAATTTTCTTTGGGGCTGTCTATGCTGTTTCAATGAGCTATAACCCTTCTCCCCTCATTAAAGACTTCAATACTTTTAATACAAACTTCAACTTAAAAAAAACATGATTCTTTAATTCTGCTGATCTATTATCATTTCTCAGTGATTTTAGTCTCAGAATAATTTTGATTTCTGCAAATTCTCTAGTCACATGTGCCAATTCTCTGGAGAAATATGCTCCTTGAAATCAAATATCAACATTGGAAAAGGAATTTTGAGGTTCTAGAATGAGAATATGTGAAATATTTTGCCCAAAATCACTAAAACAAAAGGGAGATTGACATGGAGATTTGAATAAACCTTGCCTATTGTAAATCCTGTTTACAACTTCACAAGATGATTGAGTGCTGTTCGATCAAATCTGGACATCAAAATGATTCACACAACCATAATCTTGCTACTGAACAGGTCCTGTGAAAAATTCAGCATTTGTCCATTTTGAATGCTACAAATGGACTCAATCCATTTACTATGGGGAGTATAAGTGAACAGAAATTTGGGCATGCACACTGCGATGGTTTAGCATCACCAAACGACTAGAAGGCCAAACTGGACTGACTTCAGAGTCATAATATGCAAATATTGGAAATGAAGCACTAGTGAGTTCATTTAAATCATGAGACAGAGGGATCAAATCCAAATACAGCAGTATATTCCAAGTACCCTTGATGTGCTTATTACATCTCTTTTCATTGGCAGGCAAAGACCTTATTGTTTATCCAGACCTCTGACAGCTAATTATCCCTTTTAATTAGGGTATACTGTATGTTTGTAATCAGCATTCTTATGTTGTAATTACTTTTAAAGCTGTTCATGTTTTTAATATGTTTGTGTAATTGCTTTTTAATTTTGTATTATCTCTTGTTTTAACTAGATTTGGTTTTAATCTTATATTGTGAGCTACTGTGGGTTCCATTCTGTGAGAATGGAGAGATAGAAACTGTATATATGTATGTATATATGTATGTATGAGCATGAGTTGTTATGTTGTGTATTTTTCTTTATCCTGCCTGGGGTCTCTTTCATCAATCACACTTTTGTCTCAAATGTGCTTATTCTCCTTTCCATAATTCCTCCCTGCTAGGCAACAGCAAGAATATGCTGAATGGCACCTCAGCTCCCGAATTCATCCTGCTGGGTTTCCTTGGACTCCAGAAGTTCTGGTTCCTCTTATTCATCACTTTCTTGACGGCCTACCTCTTCATACTCCTTGGAAATGTTTTGATCATTATCATCATAAACATGGATGTGGACCTACATATCCCTATGTACTTCTTCCTGAGCAATTTCTCCTTCCTGGAAATATGCTACACCTCAGTCACTGTCCCTCGGCTTCTGGTGGACTTCCTCACTGGCTCCCGTGCCATCTCCTTCCAGAGGTGCATCACCCAGATGTATTTCTTCTTCTTCTTTGGTACCACAGAATTCCTCCTCTTGGCTACCATGGCTTATGACCGGTATTTAGCCATCTGTCAACCACTGCGGTATCCAGTGCTCATGAATGGCCGTGCTTGTATCCGCTTGGCCTTGACTTCCTGGCTGAGCGGCTCCCTCACCCCTTTCTTGCCCACGGCCTTTATCTCGCAGCTCCCCTTCAACAGTAGTAACCAGATCAACCACTTCTTCTGTGACACAGGGCCATTGATTGAGCTTTCAACTGGAGACACCTTTATGGCTCAGGCAATGGTTTTTCTTGTCTCGGCAGTGATTGTGCCTGTGTCCTTCCTTCTGACTTTGATTTCTTATGCCCTGATCATTTTTACCATCTGGCACATCCCGTCTGCTTCTGGAAGGTATAAGGCCTTTTCTACATGTTCCAGCCACCTCATGGTGGTTACCATCTTCTATGGCACAGTCATCTTCATGTACCTCTGTCCACGTTCTGGCCGGTCTTCTGACATGAACAAAATGATATCTGTTTTCTATGCTGTAGTCACTCCTATGCTGAATCCTATCATTTACACCCTGAGGAACAAAGATGTGAAAAGAGCTCTGGAGAAAATTCTCAACCAAGTAAAGGACAAGTGGTGGACACATGGAGGGAAAGCCTTTCTCGCTAAGGAGACACAGGCCACATGTTAGATGAGGGCTGTTTATTGAAGGTGCCTTCTTACTGAGGAATTTTGCGAGGCAAATATTCATTACATGTGCTTTTTGTTGGTGTCTCAGCTACATTCTCAGGCTCTTCTAATAGGGTACAGCTGTCATCTACAAATGTTAAGCAATATTTTATGAGTACAGTACATGATTTGTATTGAAAGAAGTCTTCAAAGCTGTTTTCTTGTTTGGGATTTATTGCTGCTGCAATGAGAGATGAAAAATCAGTGTAGTAAAGCCATATGCTTTTTTGTATTTATGCTATTTATGCACTAAACTGCAGTCTACATACCTTGGATATGGATAAGTGACAATTAAGGAACTAGTTATTTTGGACAGGGATTTTGAATATTTGCAATTAATCTAGATCTCAATTTTCTATGTAGTTTTCTTTTTTTAAAAAAATATTTCAGAACTAGTTCTCTCATCACACTAGAACGTGGATCCACTTTAAATCCATGTTCTGCTTCCTGCAGAATTCTGGTGCTTGTAGTTTAGGGAGGGGCTTCAAACTGCTCAGTCAGACAGTTCTTGTCCTCCCTAAACTACAAGCCCCGGAATTCTGCAGGAGGCAGAAAACGGATTTAAAGTGGATCCATGCTCTAGTGCAGGCATGTGCAAACTCCAAATGTTTTGGACTTCAACTCCCACAATTCCTGGCCTCAGGCCCTTTCCTTTCCCCCCTCAGCCACTTAAGCTAGGAATTGTGGGAGTTGAAGTCCAACATACCTGGGCCAAAGTTTGCCCATGCCTGCACTAGTGTGATGAGGCTGTAAGAAATGCTCTTGCAAAATCGGTTCAATTTCTTTTGAGAAGTGGCTATGTGACACATCACATGGTTTTGGTTTTTTTTTTTTGGGGGGGGGGGGGGGGCTTTGGTTCCAAAAAAAGGGTAGAATTGGATAAAGTTGGTTCAAGTTGGCTTGGATATCCGGAATACAACTTTGAGCTTTCTCATGTTAATTCTGAAATTATTTTATATTATCTATATTTTTCACGATTTTGTTAGCACTTTTGTATATATTCTCTGTACATTTGTTGCATTTTCCATGCCCATTGGCTAGCACAATAAATTCACTGAATTAATATATTTTTACCATGGCATTTTGCTTGTTTTTGATAGGTGGTGCATGTGAACATAATAAAGTAAAAAGCCCTGTATCAATGACTATAAAGTATTTAAGAAGCAACAACAATCAGTGTAGCCAGTGAAAGAATCATACTACAAACATTATCACCAATGAATAAAGCTGTTTAATGAAATTATGAGATTGATGCTGATGGAGACCTCTCATTTACAGAGTCATCATACATAGAATATAACTTGAAGGCAAATAACAGAAATAACAACAAAATTATATATTAATTTTTAAAGCCAGAGTTCCAATACCTGCTATAGGGATTGTAACTCTTCATTTAACAGCACTACTATTGGAGGGCGGATTAACATTATGGTCTTTCATCTTTACACTTTAAACATAAGGTTAAATGCACAATTGATTTTGAATAGTACAGTAGTATCTATTTAATGGCTTTTGAGCTTTTCTGTGATGCGTTGTTTTAGCTATATTTTATTTTTACCTTATACCATAAGCTGTCTTGGTTCACATATTTGGTGAAACGTAGGATATATATACATCTACAGTATGTATGTACATACAATGTAGTCAGAATTTTTTCCCCAAAAAATAAAAAGCTAAATTATAAAACACATCACTGTAATGCTAAGTTATCTGTTCTGGGACCTCAGCACTAGGATTGCAATTAATTAATTACTTTTTCAAAATAACATTCTGCATTCTGGATCAAAGACACTGCTGCTCCCATCTGGTTCATCTGATGAGCACCGGGTATGATCAGAACCCTCTCATCTGCCCCGACAGATGTGTTATATCAAATCCAGTAGATCCCAGATGTGTGTTGTTGTGCAAATGCACGCACATTTCAGGACTGCTGGATCAGGGCCATACCACAGACTCTGCCAAATTTTCTTCAAGTTGTCTAATTCCTCCAGTCCTGTGTAGTTATGTTAATTCCAAATGCTGGTACATTCTTAATGGGGAAGTGGATGGGTGAATTTGCTTTCTGGTAGAATATATCCCCTTTAGACTTTCTCCCTATATTTAAAAGAATGTATTGGTTTGCAATGACTTTGGATGTTTAATGGTTGCATTATGTTTTAACTTTTCATTTGAGGGTGTTGATACACATCACAACCATCAAAGCACAATTCCTACTCATATGGGTTTATGAAGTTTGCTACTAGAACTCCACTGATCAAACACAGGTTGGAATGCAGTGCTACATGGGAAGGTTTCCCTTTTCTCTCTGATCACACCCTCAGGACTTTATCCCATGTCCTCCCTCCCATTTTAAAACAGTTATAATCCATTCAAGCAAGGGAAAGTGATGGAGCCCATCCCCGTGATGCAGGGGATTTTCTGTCTGCACCTGTCACAATTTGTTATGTAAATGTGAGGAAAAAGTCCCAAAAAAAGGAGGGGGGAGAAGACGGCCTGTGATCATCTCAGAAGTATGGGAACCATTATATTCCATTTCTAAAGCACCAAAACACATAGGATTGGAATTGCCCTCACTGAATTGGGTAGGATGACCTGGGCAAATGGACTGTCCTGTGGGCGGTCTCCTGGACGGCAATGACTTTTCCTTTCCTATAAGCAGTAAAAGCTTCTGATTTAATGTGATGAAAGCCACCTTATGATGAGATTAAGTAGGGTTTTTAACAAGTCAGCTAAATACTCTGAAACATTATGCTTAAAACATGATCCAATGCTGTATGAAAATCTATTCTCTCTCTCTCTCTCTCTCTCTCTCTCTCTCTCTCTCTCTCTCTCTCTTTACTGATTGTGCAGAAGAGCAAGGAGGAATGATGAATAAAGTATAACCTATAACTATGCAATATTGTTTAACCATCCTTTCAGTCCCACATCTTTTAAAATTCTTATCAGGCATTTTCTATTTTGTGCTATTGTTACACTCAGGATCTTATCACATTAGGATATAATCCATTTATATCAGTATGCATCCATATTTTTAAAGAACTGGATGCATACTATATTGAGACAGGGTGCATACTCTCCTCATCACACCTGATTATTATGATTTGAAAATACTGTGCTTTGACTCCTCACACCACGGCAGGCTGGCTCCTCCCAATCCATTGAAAACACCCCCTACGTCACTCTATGGCCTTTTAAAAAAGTATCATTGCTGATGGGATGCATACAGATTTTCCAATCACACACAAAATCAGTGCTCCAGAAAAGGAAGCATATGTAGTATTTTCAAAAACACAATTAGAATTCCGTCTGCAAATAATCAATTTCTGCGACGCTTTGCAGCTGGATTTCCGACATAATACTGATGGATGGGCATACGTTATGTGTCGGGATCCATTTGAAATCATTCTCAAACAGTCTCAGAAATGGAGTATTTCCTAATGTGATAAGGTCCCCTGTCACAGCAAAAATAAGAATTATGTAGTGCCCAAAAGAGTAACAAATGCATTCCAAAATAACTCAGCCTTCACCAACATAGTTAGTTTTCAAATCTATGATCCTCAGAATCATGACCGTGCTGGCTGCAAATGAAGGAGGTTGTAGACAAACACTTAAGAGTTGGAAAAAATCTGGCTCACATCACAATAAATGCAGGTTGAGTATTCTTTATCCAGAAATCCAAAATACTCCAAAATTCAAAACTTTTTCCACCAGTCACCTACTTCTGCTAGACGTATAGGGCTGACTTTACATCTTCTATACTGACTTCATTCTCTAATAGTCATGTTGCTATTAGTAGCAGACTTTTCATCCCTTCTTTCTTCTAGATCTAATCTTAATGGAAGACACATTATTTGAGGTACTGTTCCATTATTCAGGCAAAGGCCAAAAGGGGGTGCTAGACAGAGAAGGACCATACTCCAAGAAATAATGCCCGACTGCTCACTAGAGGGAAGGATATTAGAGCCAAAGATGAAGTACTTTGGCCACATCATGAGGAGACAGGAAAGCTTGGAAAAGACAATGATGCTGGAGAAAATGGAAGGAAAAAGGAAGAGGAGCCGACCAAGGACAAGATGGATGGATGGTATCCTTGAATTGACTGGCTTGACTTTGAAGGAGCTGGGGGTGGCCACGGCTGACATGGAGCTCTGGCATGGGCTGGTTCATGAGGTCACAAAGAGTCAGAAATGACTGAACAAAAAAAACAGCAACAAAACTATTTGGACATGAAAGTACCCAGAGAAGAATAGCCCATTTTATAGGAGGAGGAGTTGAAGGAGGAAAACCATTTCCCCCATTTCACTGGTTATTCCCCCCCCCCCCAACTCCCCATATCTTAAACAAGGGTTGTTTGCATGACGGCAATATGAATGGGAGGGAATAACAGGAAAACAGGGGGAAATAGTTTTACTACTTCAACCATGTCCCCAACTCGTTCCCCCTGCCCCCATAAAATGGACTAGCCTTCTCTGTCTAGTGCTCCCTTTTGGCCTTTGTCCAGATAATGGAACAGTATTCTGTTTGGAAGTTAGTTTGGATTCATCAGCAAAAGATTTAACAGATTATGGGTACTAACCCATAACAAGAAAGGAATTAAAATAATCACAATGGGAGGAAAAAGGAAGCAATGGTATTTAGCATGAAGATTGTATTTAGCACCATATTTACAGTAGCACAGTTTGTCTTTGGCAATTTAAGATGCAGATGGTATTGATCCAGGATGGCTTCTTTAAAGTCCTGCGAATAGAAAGATTTGTAATGGGTATGTTGAAGAATGATAGCTACCATAGGAAAACTAGAAAATAAATAGCAATGTAGATGATCAACTCAGAGCCTAAAGCTGAAGATGCTTGGAATGCACTGTGGGGCTGACAAAGAAGGCTGTAATCAAAAACTTTGTTTTAAGATAGTGTTATGGTATAAAATTGCCAGAAGGCGATAATCTTAATCCCCATCTTGCTACTGTGCTTGAACTGACAGCTGAGCAGCACAAGACGAGTCAAGGAACAGCAAAGAAGAGTAACGCTGATACTCTATTTTTGCCAGAATGACCTAGAGCTCTCATAAGCCCGACTGAAGGAAGATCATGTTTACAGCTGATTATAAATAAGCTACAAAAACAACTTGGGCAAAGGAAGAGAAGTTAAAGGAAAAAGTCTTGTTGGAACGCTCTGTGAATAAACCAGAGACATTGTCCAGAGGAACTGAAACAGAAAAAGGTGGGAGTAAATCAAGATAGTTGAAGATTCTGCAGCTACTCCAATGAAGATGTCTTCACTTCATTGTGCTAAATACAATATTCATGCTAAATACTATTACATCATACATTAGTAGAAAATTAAA